CAACGATGCTACCATCTCACGTAGAGCGGCTACCTCACCGCGTAATGTAGATACCTCAACACGCCATGCACCATCGTCTTTGCGTAAAGTACCGACCTCCTCACGCAAGGCATTGACCTCATCACGTAACTCCCTAACTCATCCGTTGAGGTGGAGGTGGAGAACAGGGAGATAAACGTCATGGCATCTTTGCCGGTCGCCTATCTTGCGGTGATGGTGGAGAAGAGGCTCGATGATGTGACAGAATAGGTGATGGTTGTCGTTGTGGAGGTGTATAGCCGGGTCGATCAGATGATGGCTCTGGGTGAGGTGATAGCTCTGGGCGAGGTGATGGCTCTCGAAGTGGAGGCTGCTCATCAACCATTCCATCAAAAAAACGCTTACTAGCTTGCCACCAATCAGTGGCAAGCTCAGCTTCCGTGGGTGTCAGCCTCTGTAGAGGAGTGTTGGCCTCCTAACAATATAAAAGCTCAAACAAAGTTAAACGTGTACTAGTAATAACTTGTTTATAAACATATGGTAGTATTTATGTTAACTTACATTATTTATTGTCGTATACCGTAGTAAATCTTCCCATTGCAAGGTCCGTTTCCTCTTCAGGAAATAGCCCTGGGAATATCATTTGAAGTTTTTATTGCATATGTCTTCATGGCGGGAAAGGCCTCAAATATCCAAATCTACAAACAATATAATAACAAACATTAGTAATTGTTAAATAATTACTTATAATTTTGGAAACATCATATAAAAATTCTTACCTTAAAGGCCCAAATAAAGCCTGTCAAAGTGTATTTGGAACCATCGCCATGCAAACTTTTTCGATCATCCAAGCAGACGATAACTTATTCCATGTAGCTTTCCATAAATACGATCCCCACGGAAACAGGTTCCACGCATTTAGGTCTTCTACCAATTTGATTAGATCATTTGGAATAGGTTGTCTGGCCTCTCTGCCTAAAAAGCCGGCATGCAAAAGAATTAGAAGGCATACTCGGACAACGTCGACGTCATCCATCCGAGTAAAACCATCTTTATTATTCAACAATCTTGTCAGGTCTTCTACGTGTAGACTCGGCCTCTCCAGCTCAGGAAAAACCCGGGATAGCCATGATGGGCGGGTAATGTGTCTAGTGTACCGACCTACATCATCGTGTCCGAAGCGTAGACCGGTGATTAAGCAAAACTCCTCCCGCCCAAAACACGTATACGCCGGTGGAAAATCAAACCATATCTCTTCATCACGACGTTGTATAGTCTCTGGTAGATCGCTAGTCATGGTTTGAAGAAACAGGTGTGTCAACATCGCATCTCCACCGGGATGTTGTACTTTCAGCCATGGCCCGAAGCATGTATCCTCAAACATTTTTCTTTGTGCAGGTGAAAGCTTCGACGCAATTGTTTTGGCCAGGCTGACTTTATTTCTCAAGGTCAATTGAGTCGAATAAAAGTTCTACAAAAACAATAAACATACTAAATTAGATATACCAAAAACTACACTGTGAAGATATACCAAAAACAATAATAAACATAAAGAGTAGTAGTTTATTCTTCAAACTTAAATTTGCAACACTGTGAATTTCGTATTTGTCTTTGTTTTTTGGTTGAAGTAATGCAATTCATTCAAGTTTCAATTTGCAGAAGAAGAATAGTTTCTGAAAATGAAAATCGCAACACGAAAATGACTATCGCAACGCGAATTTGACTATCGCAACGAGATAATCGCAACGCGAAACTAAAATCGCGTTGCGATTCTCGGTTGATTTAATAAGCAATCTAAGTGAAATAGTTAATCTATTATTGAAATTACCAGTAAACTTATCATCAATTTCAATATGAAAAACCTAATAATAATGCAAAAATTTCAAAAAGAAAATAATTAAAAAAACTAACCCTCGTTGGTTGATTTGGTTGATTTTCCATTTCTGATTGTGAGGGTGGCTCTGAGAGATGGAGATAGATGGATTTCGCCGGAGATGGGGACGGATTTCGTCGGAGATGGGTGAGAGAGTGAGAGATGGAGATGGGACTGAGTTGTGATTTTAGGTTTTAGGTTATGAGTTGCGATTACGGGATATACTGTGGACGGTTCAGTGTTCCAATATATTAATATTCGTGTTTGGAATTTAAAAATAAAATACTTGGCCAGGATACTAATGGCGCTTTGAAAATCGCATTGCGATTATGTATTATCGCGTTGCGAAAGTCAGAATCGCGTTGCGAAAGTCAGTATCGCGTTGCGAAAGTAAGTATCTCGTTGCGATTTTGTATTATCGCATTGCGATAGTCAATATCGCATTGCGATTTACTTATTCGCATTGCGATTTTCCCAATTCGCGTTGCGATTTACTTATTCGCATTGCGAATTGGGAAAATCGCAACGACACTATAGACCATCGCAACGCGATTTTCAACTATCGCATTGCAAAAATGCAACGCGAATTTGCGATAATGGAGATCGCGTTGCGAATTAGCGATCGCATTGCGATTTTGTTGGTCATTTTGGCAAATCCGGAAAAAGTTGGTTAAAATCGTATATTATATGGGATTTTTGGTCACTGAGGTTATTTTCTCTTTCTAAAAATCGCATTATTTTTAATTAAAAATTCAATTAAAAAAAGAATAATTAAAAATGACGTGGTTTTCAAAATCTTGCCTCTACTTAAAAATCGTTTCGACAGTTTAGGTAACATTTTAGGTTAAAACCTAAAAAATTATTATGGAGTTATAAAGAAAAAAAAATTATTCAAATCAAGTAACTCGTTTCGGCTCATTAAGAACTTAAGCCGAACTCGAGCTCAAACTTAAGTCAAATTTATTCGAATCAAATATTTATAAAATTTTGATGAAATGGATGTCGAAGAACTCAAAAAAAAAAAAGTTGGTCTCATTTACAACTCTATAATCAACGCCTGGCTTATCAATTAGGCGGAAAAAAAGGAAGATAGCTTTGGAGATTCAGAACGTGCCGCCCCACAATAAGACCATCGGATTATGCGAATCTTACTATATTCAAAATTTCACCTAATTACAACCAACCAATTCCTCTCGTGATATTTACTTTCTTATACCATTTGTATCCTTGAATTGCACATTTTCAAAATTTATAATTATATATACTAAGTTTTAAATTTAAAGTTTTTATAAAACATTATACATATTTTATTTATTAACATAAGATTTAATGTTTTCAATTTTACTTAAGGTTTATTATAATTTATTTCTTTTATTTATTAACATATGATTTAATGTTTTCAATTTTACTTAAGGTTTATTATAATTTGTTTCTTTTATCTAAAAATTAAAAATATATATATAGACAGCTTTTTGGTAAATAATAAAAATATATTTAATTAATACATACAGTTATTTCATTCTAATAATATGTCAACATTTAGAATGTATAAATTTTGATATGATTTTATTCGATTAGATTTTTTTTTTTAAAAGTTCAGGTTTGAATTCAACTTGACTCGACTTGAAAAATAATATAAATATACCTTATATATTTAGAGATAATTATAATAATACTTCTCTCCATATTATTTTTTATTTAGATCTATATGTTATCGAATAAAATCCAAAAATCATGTATATACATGTATTTATATTAAAAAAATCAAATGTAAAAAAATAAGTTAAATAAAATCTTAGGTTAAAGAGAGTTCCAGCCCCGGTAACTAAAATGTTCACCTTTGCATATGGACCTACCAATTGATGTATTCTTAACTTTATAAATCGTACATGATTCTCGAGGGATAAAAAATAAACAATATTTTATATAAACTTTACACTGTTTTAACTAATATATTACTAAATTTAATCTTCTCGTATTATTTTAATGTAGATCCTACAAATTTCATTTTTTATTTAAATATAATGCATTCAAACTCATTATAAATTATTTCTCAATCTAACACTCTTTTAATAAGACACTTTCAAATGATTAGAACTTTTTTTATTTGTGACTAAAACGAAAGAAAAAATATATAGATAAAAACTGTGAAAGAAAATCATATGAATTTTTTCAAAAACAAATGCACGCGGCGCATATCGAAGACATGCAATTACACGAGCATGAGTCTGGTGGAAATGACGAAACACATATTTTAGTCTTATGTTTAATCACTTATTAAACACAAACTTAAATTGATATATTTAAACACTTAAAAGATCTACATATTTAAACAATATGAGCTAATACACGTGCATAGATGCCACCGCTTACTCAGCTCGTGCTTGTACTTGTGTTTGTACAATTATGTGTTTTTAATGCAAACTTAAATTATTATATTCAAACATTTGATAATCCACATATTTAAATAATATGGGCTAATATACGTGTTTTGTCATTGCCACTCGACTCATGCTCATGTAATTACGTGTCTTTGATATCTATCGTGTGTATTTGTTCATTTTAAATAAAATTTATATACATTTTTTGGTATTTTTAACCCTTAATTTTTTCTTTCGTTTCAACTTAACTTAAAAAATTCCAATTTTTTCTTTCGTTTCAACTTAACTTAAATAATTCCGGCATTTGTATGATATGTAAGCGGAATGCGCTCCTTATAAAAAGTGTATTTTGAAAAGTAATTTTCTTTATGAAAAACCGTCATTCACTCACGGGACATAAAAAATATTGAATTGAAAAATAGTTTAAAACTAATGTTAAAATGATAAATTATTTTTAAAGAAGGTATATTTAAATAATAAAAAATCTAAAAACATGTGTTGTATCTGTTGGGAAGTGAAAGGTGTCCTTGTTTCGCCGGAGATTTTAAAGGCAAGTAGACGATGACTCCGCCCTGCATGGGCCCACCGTCTCCTTATCCTTTCACTTTGCCTTAATCATATTCAGCTCTTTTCACCAAAGGATAATATACAAATCCGAAAAATAAATAAATAAAGAGAGACAAGGCAAAGATATCAAGAAGGGATTAATTATAAGAGTAAAACAACTTCTAAAATTGGGTAAGAACAAACATGTCGATAATTCAGTTTTAGAGTTTGATATACTATTTATGGTAAATATAAATCTAAACTCCACAATAATCTCCGATCAATGAAAATGATAAGCTGAACCTTGAAACTCATTAGTATGGCGGCCGCGGCAGTCTAGCAGTCGGGGCCCAAATCCCATCTGATCCGCCACCGAACTGACGATTATACATCGAAACTCCGCAAGATTCTGAACCACCCCCACCGTGACCGGTACTATCTCCACCGCCACCAGAAAACGGCGGAGACTGTTCTTCTCCGTCTCCGCCAGACAACATCGTGTTCCTCGTTTCTTCTTCCCCGCCTCCTACATCTGCTGCTAAATTATGATACGAAGGATTGTTGAAAGTAGCGGCAACTATAAACGCTGTGTCAGCCGCCATCAAGGAGCCCGCCACGAACCCTCCGACGACCTGCCCCTGAGGACCCGCTAAAGAGATGGAGAACGTGTTGGGGACGTTATACGACGTCGTTGGGGGAAGGACAGTGGCCGAGAGAGATAAGATATCGAATCTACCATGGAAAGTTATCGTAGCTCCCGGAGTAGACGAAAGTTGACGGAGAGTTACGTTCGAAACGGTCCCGGAACCATTAAGTACGCAGACTCCGACGTTTTTCCGACGACAGAAGCCGGAGATTGCTTCGACGACGTCGTTCCCGCCTGGGATTTCGAGGACGTATGGATTCATGGCCGGCTCGTTGGGTTCCCGAGCGACGAGAAGTGATTGTTTGGGCTTGTTTTTGGAACCAGGAGGACGACCCCTTGGTCTTCGAACCACTTCAATGGAAGCTCCATCGGAGGCGGTAGTACCACCGGTGGGGAGAGTGGAAGGATCTTTGGAATCATAGTGAGAGGGGTGGAAGTGATGAGAGAAAGAGTGGTGAAGTTTGGAAAACATGTTGTTGGGGTTTCCATTTTGGGAATCGACATACTCACCTTTCATGGCGTGGGGATGAGATTTTGATCTTCTTGGGGATCCTTTTCGATTAACTTCTTTTGGCTTTTTATGATTGATGAAATAAGAGACAATTTGAAAGGTAAGAGAAGAAGAAGAAGAAGAAGAAGGTGGAATGAAAATGGAGGTCGTGAAGAAAGAGGTGTGGCGTTTGGATTTGTATAAAAAAAGGATTTTAGACTTTTGAGAGAGACGAGGAGGAAAGGCAGAGAAATTTAAACACTCTACGGGTAGGACCAACCTACTAAAATTTTTCTACTCCTGCATTCGTCTTTGTTTTGATATTAACACACGCATACACACACGTATTATATTTTTAGTCGTTAACAATATATGCATACTTAAAAAGAGAATAACAATTTATGCATACTTAAAAAGAGAATAATATTCTCTTTAACTACTAAGATCACTTAGTAAACTTTATCATTATTTTTTTGACAAAATTTTTAATTTAGAATGATTACACGATATTATTTGTTTAAATATTTTTAATCATTTGATAATGAAAGCTCAAACGCGTTGTAACATCCTAAAAATCGGGTTAGTGACCAAAATGAAAGTTTTTTAAAATTTGTGCTCAATTTTGAAATAAGTTAAAAGTTCAAGGAATAAATTAAAATTTCTTTGTGAATGATTGATTAGTCAAAAAGGAAAGGTGTGAGGGTATATTGGTCTTTTCCCAAGAAAGATTTTAATCTTTTCCTTTTGGTGGAGTATAAGCACGTGGAGAAGGAAGTAAGAAAAAGAAAAGTCTGGAGACTTATAGGTTCAGCAAGCTTCTTCTTCTTCTCTTCCTGTGTCTCTATATCTAAGGTGAAAATGCTTTCAGTTGGTTAATTCTTGTAAGTTTTGAGTGGTTTTATTCTTGGGATGTTAGTTAAGCTTAAGGGAAGCTTAAAATGGTTTAAAACTCAAATATGAAGAAGTTATGAGAGATTAAGTAAAATGAGTTTTTGAGTGAATTATTGAAATAGAAGGAGTTAATGGATTTTGAAGTTAAATTTGACTTGTCATCAGTCAGAATAAGAAATTCAAAGTGTTAGAAACGAATTTGATTTATTGGCTTGATTCTTGAATTCAAGTATAATAGTTATTTATGGGATGTTATGATGAGTTAAAGTGAAATAAGTTAATTTGTGTAAGTATAGTTAAGTATTAAGGGTTAAAAGGAGGTTAAGAAAGAAGAGTTAAGTAAGATTTTCGGGGTTAAAGAAGTGAATTATGGGCATAAGGTATTGGTACTACTTCATCTAGTACCGATACTTCAAGAGTAAAATAGCGATATTGGGTATAAGGGTATCAATACCATATTAATGAGTATCGATACCATAAGTCTAAATTTAATAAAGGCATTCATGAGGTATCGATACCTGGAGGATAGTATCGGTACCACTTTTGGAAACAAGAACATCGAATGCAAAATGGGTATCGATGCCCAGATTGGTATCGATACCACAGTTAGGGAAATATCGATACCATTGAGGAGGGTACTGATACTACTCGAGTGGAAAATATTATAAAGCCTTTCATTTGGTTAAAGATTATTAGAATCGAATAATGATGTTTAGATTGCTGACATATATATAATTGTATGATTGTGTAGATATCAATCGGAAGCAAGTACCAGATGAGTCAACGAGATAGGATCGATTAGGAAAAAAGTTATAAGTGCTCAAATTGACTAGTGAGGCCAGGTGAGTGCATATTAGTTATTATATGATGATGAATGGAAATAAGACTTGCGATAAGTCTATTTCCTATATTAGAATGCATGAATTCATAATTATAAGCATGTGTTTGATATGAGTATATGCGATGTATGTTATTGTGTATGTTATATGATTGTTATGAATACATGTTATGTGAGTATGATATAAACCATGTGACAATGAATTATATGAGAACATGTATATGTGAATGATCTATGTAACTAGGTGAACATATGAAAATATGACTATGAGATAAGCCATATGACTATGAGCTATGTGATAAGAAGTGATGTGAGTAAATGATCAAGAGATATAAGTTATGTGATATATGTGACATGTGAATTATATGGAAATGATCTACGTGTAAGTGAACTATGTGACTACGTGAATATGTGATAAATATAAAACATAATGTTCATGTTATGTGACATGAGAGCTAGAGGTATAGTTGGCATGCCAAGAGTCGATGGTTCTACGTGGTCCTTCGGGACATATATATAATCCTTTGGAACTTATATGTGGTACTTCGGTACACTTATTTGTTCCATTGGAATATGTATATGGTTCTTAAGGAGTGGTCCTTCGGGACATATGTGATATGTGGTCCTTCGGGACAAATTCTACGCGCCCCTACTGGAAATTATACGAGCTGCGGTGACAGCATATGTGCACAACCTTTATGTACTCACGTATCTTTAGTTCTCACAAGTGTACCATGGGCAAACAAAAGGATTAACTTAAATAAATTGGATGTGATGATATGTGTTTGATTTGTGAAATGTATGATATGATGTACATAAAGGTTAAGGATAAGATCACATGAGTAAAAGAATGAATGGAAATGATAATATTGATAATAAAAAAGAATGTGAGTGATGATAATATTAGTATGTGTGTGTGTGTGTGTGTGTGTATATATGTATGTATGTATTGTTTACAAGAAGGGACATATGAATTTTGTATGATATGATAAAATTATATGTTTATGCTAGGAGTTAAAGTTACCTTATATGTTTTTATGCCTCACTAAGTCATTGACTTAGCATGTGAATGTTTCACACATAGGTTTCGAGGAGATAGAGGAGCATAAAGGGGAAAGACAGGCCAGATTCTCCTTCCCAAAGATCAGATTAGAAAAGTATTTTGAATTAGATGTATTTTGTTTTATCGAAAGTAATTGGCATGTAATTAAATATTTGAATCAAGTGGGGTCTGATAGATTTTGTAAAACCATATGTTTTATATAATAGAAATTATTCTGTTTTATAATAAATGTCAAATGAAATTTTTTATTCACTTTGTAAAAGTAAATGCTTTGAAAAGTCAATGTGACACCTCAGACTCTGATCCGGGTCGGATGAGGGTTGGGGGTGTTACACACGTAGTCTCTAGTGCTTGAGTCTAAGACCTCTAAAAATAACAATTATCCTTTCAACCATTGAGGTAGCTTGGTTTTTGCATATCATTAAAACATGTTAAATATCAATCTTTGAAGTTTCATATTTTGTCAAGTTTAGCTATTGATGCTTTAGCAATTCTGATAACAACTGTAGCTTTTGAGGTTATGTTTAGTGCAGGGAGTAACGTGATTGATTCTTATAGAGCTTTACTATCTTCGGATACCGTACAAATGTTGATTTTAGTAGAGATTGGTATTGATCTCCCCATAGAGTGAGAGAAATAACAAAGTAAGACTATTTAAGATTAAACATATTAATTAATTTAGTTTTATATTATTCATGAAAAAGTAAAATATTTATTTTAGTTTCTTATCATAAGATATTCTAATTGTTTTATTGACATGATGACTATGTTGATCAAGCAAAGGAAATTATTCTCTCAATTTTGTAATTTGGTGATTGCAACTAGACATGCACAAAGTCGGATAAAAAATCGATCCGGATCGGATAAAAAATGGTCCGATTTTTTCACCTAGCTAAAAAACCCGGTTCGGATCCTAACCGATTTGGAGGGCCGGATGGTGTAACCGATTTCGGTTTGAAAAAAAATAGTTTTTAAAAAAACCGGATATAAAAAAACCGGTGGTGGTGAGCAACACTACTCTTGTGCAATCTGTCTCTACTCCTCCTCCTGAAGGCTTTGAGAGTAATACTGAGCAGCACTACTTTGTCCTGTTTTCTTTGTTCTTCCTTCTTAAACACTCTCATCAAAGTACATTCATCACCATTTCTTGCAAGCTTTCATTATTTTCCACTTAATCGCATTAGATCCTCATTTAAGTTTCATTTCACGCACACCTATCACAAACCAAAAGCTAATCAAAGCACAACTATTCTAGATAAATTAGGTGTATTTATAAACATTTTATGCATGTGAAGAGCATATACACAAGACACTCATCAACGATAAATTAAAATATTTAAATATTACAATGTTAAAATTACATCGTCATCAATTGCAACAAAGTTTACGATAATTGAAATACTTAAATACTTCCAAGTTCGATAAATTCAAATACTTAAAAACTTCCAAGTCGATAATTGAAACAAAGTTTACGATAATTGAAACAAAGTTTAAAAATAAACTACATCGCCATCTCTTCTTCATCATCTTCGCCTTCTTCGTTTGGAGGGGATATTCCAAGTTCGACTTCTTCAATGTGTAAGTTTGCTTCCAAATCGGCATCAATTGCATCTTCTAGGGTGGTGATATGTTGCTTCTGAGCCGCTCCATCCAAATATTCCTTTAAACAAATGCATACTTCCACCGACTCGGGACTTAGTCTTGATCTCTGTTGCGATATAACCCTACCACTAACAGAGAAAGCGGATTCCGAAGCTACCGTAGAAGCTTGGACGATTAGTAAATCACGGGCCATGGCGGCTAGAATCGAAAATTGTGCTTTCTTTTATTTTCACCAAGCCAAAATATCCAAACTTTAAAACTCTTCAAATGTCATTTTTGATAGAAAATCGCATGACATGTAATTTCCCAACTCGCTACTTGGGGTGGTAGTACATGATCGTTTGGATTGGGAATTTACTAGAGTGTTAAAATGTGACAAATTTATTTACTTGAACGTCTACTAGATGATTCCGCATTCGTTCTCATTTGATCATGTATTACACTACTTGATACATATTTAATTAAATAAATTACAAACATGTCTCGAAAATATTTGTTAAAATAATTTATTTGGTTTTGGACAAAGGTGGGTTCATCATCGGTTAGATTAAAAGCAAACGCAATTTGTTCGATTAGTGTTTCAACCTCGCCAACATTTAACGTTGGGTTTAAAGCGACGACACAAGTAAAAATGGGGGGAATCTCCTTAAAATATTTTAAAAGTTTTTCCTTCATTGCAAAGCCAATTTCTTGAAAAACTTCGGTTTCAAATTCAAAGTCATTTAGTCGGTTAGCCAACAAAAATATTTGATTAAGAACCAACGGGATAGTAGGGTAATAAACATCGGATAAAAAAATTGTTGCATTTTTAAAAATCCTAAGCAAATCGGTTATTTTGGCTATAGTTTCCCAACTCGAATCCGGATAAATGTTTGGGACATGGCCCCTCTCGAAAAGCCGATCGTTAAATGTTTGCAATGTTTCCCTTTGCCTTAAGGCGGTATGCATCATCATCCAAGTTGAGTTCCAACGAGTTAGACAATCCAAATTAGGACCCAAAGCTTTTTTATTAACCAACTTACAAAATCGTTTATAATCATTTAGTCTTTTGTTGTTATTACAAAGAACCATTTTATCATTGCTTTAAATTCTAATCTAATCGGCTCAATAACCTCCAAACCGGCTTGCACGGATAAATTAATTATGTGTGCAATGAAACGGGTATGAAAAAACGCACCGTCTAAAATTGGTAAAAGTAATATTTTCAATCTTGGAACCTCGTTTGTATTATTCGATGCATTATCAAAGGATATAGAAAAAACTTTATTTTCTAATTTATAAAGACAAATTACCCTTTTTAAAAGTGTAAATAAATTAGCATCGGTATGTGGCTCACCGAGTAATTCAAACGCGATTGTTATTTTCATCATTTGCCAATTATCTTGATCTAACCAATGTGTCGTAACAGCTAAAAAAGAATTTCCGGTATTATGAGGGGAACTCCAAATGTCACATATAAGCGACACACAATAACAGTGTTCTTGGAATCCTAAAATCATTTTTCCCTCGTCGTACGCCACATTTTTATAGCATCTCTTCTAAAGGTAGTACGACTTACTTGAGTATAACGTGGTTGCATTAGTTGTTGAATTGTTGTCGTGAAATCTTCATCATCAAAGTGGTCGAACGACAATGCTTTTGTAATCACGAACTTTGTAAACGCTTCTCGTAATTTTTCGTTGTCGTAAACAAAAACACCACCTTGCGGTATAAAATTCGATTAACTTGGATCTGATCTTGAGCGAAGTGCCTTGCATGATTTTGTAAAATGGTTCTTCAACGTTGTGTTTCCTTCCGGTGCAAAAAACTTTAGACAAAGTTTACAACGCATCCTCCTCGAGCCATTTGACATCTCACATAAATCGCAGTGATCCCAAATATCTTTGTTTCGAGTGTGTTCGATCACTCTCACGACTTCAAGGTTTCCCCTGACGGAAGATTCAGCCGTGTTAGGGTTGGTATTTGTAGCCATGATGAACAAAAAATTACAAAAATAAGATTTGAGAGATGTTTAGGTGTTGTGTAATAAGATTTGAGAAAGTTGTAATCAACCAAATACATCTCCAACCAATTTATACATGTTTAGGGGTGGTAAAATGGTAATTTTTTTAAAGAAAAAAGGGTAAAAAAGGTTACAAAACCCCCCCAACGGCTATATTAACGGCTAGTTTTTAAAACCCCAGACCGGATTTTTTTCGGATAAAAACCGGTTTTTATCCCATTTTTTTAAACCGATTTTTAATCTGGTAAAAAAACCGATCGTCCAATTTGTTCCCAAACCGATTATACTATCCCATTTTTAAATATCAAATCTGGTTTAAAAAAACCGATTTTTCCCAAATCCAGTTTCAGATATTTTTTGGGCAAAATCGGATATTCAAATTTTTTGTGCACTCTAATTGCAACAACAATGAATAGAGTGAAGACATGTTGATTTCCTTATTTTTAGGATTGAATAAGTATTGTTGAACTTCTTTTTTTAAAAAGAATATTTTAATATGTTAGTTTGATATATTCGTGGATTGTTACTTTGGTGAATTTATGAATTGTTACTTTTCTTTTAATATGTTAGTTTGGTGTATTTATGGATTATTAATTTGTAAATTTAAACTTTGAAATTGCTTCATACACCCTTTTGATGATTTTTTTAATTAAATTTGTTAATTTATGTATATATTAAGCTCCATATATGATTACTAAATTTACTTATATTAAAGAAACAAGGTAAAATTTTTAGTGAGCTTAACGAGCAACAAATTTTTTTAATGAGCACGAGTGGAGCACATTTTTAACAAGCTTAACGAGCAACGAATCGAGTGAAACAACAAAAAATTTTAACGAGCACGAGTTGAACACTGCCTAACTCGAGATCAACTCGCTCAATAAATACCCCTAGTTTTGACTATAACGATTAACAAAAATATCCACGTGATAATCAAGTAAATTTATATAATTTTACATTCGAAACTCATTATTTACACATCTTTTAATTAAACAGTGACATCATTTAGTTAGAGATAAATAAATGAAACAAGAAATGAGAAAGGGAGATTTGAACTTAGAACAAGCAAGAAGAAATGAATGAAATTTTGTGGAAGTAATATTTTCTTTTTCAGAAATGAATTTCTGACTCCTTGATTATAAATTAATGATTAAACATAATACCTAATCTGTTTAGGGCCAAGTGGGAGGATTTTCCATTTGTTGCCACTTCATCATCTTTGGATTCTAATGCTAATACTTGAATTTCATCTGAATGAGGATAACAATCTGATTCAAAGAATTTAAAACAAATTTGCATATTTGAATTTAAACGAGGAATGATCATGCAGGATTTCCCCAAACGTAGGGTTGTCACAAGCCATTTTATCATCTAAGATTGTCCAATGTTGTTCCAACTTGAACATAACTAACAAGCTGATAAATAATTTCCCACAAATATCAAGTTGATTTCTAACACCACTAACGGTGACGACGACGACGATGTTGTCAAAAATTGATGCACTCTTTTCTACATCAACCTAAAACGGAAAACAATATAGTTCAGATTCTGTATAGCTAACATACCAGAGATACTGCTCACAATGACATAAACGTTGATTTCGATGTTTTTCCCCTCGTCTCTTTCCCCGAATACTAGAGCTTAGAAGTATTCAAGCTCATGTACTTCGGAGCAGGTCGGTGTAAACCAATCACTTCTACAACGGTCACCGTCAGAACTAGATTATTTTCCAGACTAAGTGCCTTCGGATCAATTACTATAAGTTCTCTAGAGTGTAGCTCCATGGCACAGTTCATCAAGACGCACTGCATTAAAGAACATTAGACTGAAAGGAACATGGAATTTCATTAGCAGTTTGTCATTTAAATCACAGAAAGATGCACCAGCCATGAAACAAGGAATGAACTGATATTTCGATTCACAATTCAGAAAAAGTTTACCTACAACATTGATGGATTTTAACCATATTTTCCTACAAGAAGATGCACCAATTCAATCAAACACAAACAAGAAAAATTTCTCAAAACCAATGGTGCAAGAACTTGCCGACCCTACATTGCATATATATCATAACTTTACATACTACTGTTGCGCTACAATCTAATATCTACACACAAAACGGTTAGCAACAACAACTACAATACCCATACATTCTCCCACCGAATTTCAGCCTCGACGTTGTACGTTCTTGTTCGTTCATCAAAATCCACCCCATATGATGGAAAAGCTCCTGCATTATGGTCAGGTTGCTATAAACGTACGCCAAAAAACCCCCATAATCCATTAACTAGGAAATCTCACAGCGGATTCCAAATTGGAATCCCTTTCTTCCAACCCGAACTCCCCGCCACATTGTCTCTCCTTTTGGATGCCTTATCCGTGGTAGTCGTAGGAGCAGCTGCCTGCGGCGGCGTAGCCACAGTACTACCATCTCTTTCACTCTCTCGCCTCTTTACTGGAAACCCAGGAGGAGGTTTTATTCGACTCTCTTGACCACCGGACGGAGAAAACGCCTTTTTTGTGGTGGTTGTTGGAGCAGCTGCCTGCGGCAGCGAATCCACGTTACCCCCTTTTCTTTCACTCTCTCGCCGCTTTTCGGAAAACCCCGGAGGAGCTTCCATTCGATTCTCTTGATCACCAGACAATAACGGAAAAAACGCCCAGGTACAGTAATAAGATTCTTTTTCTGGGACCACTGGCGGCAGAGTCGGGATCAGAACACCATGGAAAGCCCTGTCGCAATTCTGGCACCTTAAACAACAACCTTCGTAAATCCTAGGATATTCAAACAACCTATAACAGTACGGACACGCTGTCCAAAATGTCGACATTCGTTGCCTTTGTTTCTCATTTCGCAGCTCCGAATTCGGCATGCGTTTTTGCTTATGCTCCTGATTTTGCGCTCCTCTCGTGACCGTCGATTCCCCGGCTTTATTCGAACGGTCGCCGGCGGTGCATGAATCAGTCCGCTTACAAGACTCCAATTCCTTGTCGTAAAGAGATTTCTTGGAGCTGTTAGATAAAATGGACCATGCATCGGTTACGAGCTTGAAGGCATTATTGGCGAAAGGGAAATCGTTCGTTTCGGGGTCAAGAAGGAGAGCTAGGCGATGATACTGTTTCTTGATGAGATCTTTGTCCTGGGAACGGCAATCGACTTGCAAGATGGAGTACCAATCACGTTGGTCGTTTATTCTTTTTGCGGCGGCGATAAGGACGTGGATGACGGCTAGGATCTGATCTGGCCCTTCCAGGAGCGGATCGTTTTGTTGGGCGATGACTGCTGCGTCTCTTGAGTCTTTCAAATGACGGCCTCGGAGAAGCTTCTCGGCGATTGCTAGAGAGCGTTTGGCATCGGCTCTGTTGCCGTTTTCCTCCATTTTTCCTAGTGGGGTCGAGTAAGGGTCTGTTTGGAGGATAAGAAAACATGGAAAATTTTGCATTTTATTTATTTATTACTTATGTTGGAACGAATGGACGGAAATAGTCTTGCTATTTTCTTTAAATTACGATAGTTTTAAGAGAAAATAACTTCGAAAATAATTTATAATATACGATTTTAATTAACTTATTTTTTATTTGTAAAAATAACCAACAAAATCGCAACGCGAACTCCTATTTTACAATACAGTTTTCAAATTCGCAACGCGAACATAGAAATTTTCCCAACGCGAATTTCACAACATTAATTACAGATATAGGTAAACACAACTATCGCAACGCGAATTTCGTTTTCGCAATGCTAATTACCGATATAGGTAAACACAACTATCGCAACGCGAATTTCGCAAATCGAATTCGCCAATTTCGCAACTTAATTACCGATATAAGTAAATACGGTAGAAAAAATCCGGTCAAAAATCTGAATTCGCCAATTTGAAAACTGAGTTGCGAATTTGATAAATTCGTGTTGCGAAATTTAAAATCTCACCTCTTAAAGAAAAATCATTTCGACAGTTCGTTTGTTTGGTTAAAGTTAAACGAAAGAATGAACGAACATGAATATACCCACGTTTGTGTTTGTTCAATTCATTTACATGCGTAGGTTTAGCTGAGTGATTCATACGTGGACTTAGCAACTGGGATGTCCCAGGTTGAAAACCACTCCAGTGCATTTCATGTCCTTTAATCTTTTCTTTAAGAGGCGAGATTTTACATTTTGCAACACGAATTTGCCAAATTTACAACTCAGTTTTCAAATTGTTGAATTCGGATTTTTTTACCGGATTTTTTCTACCGTGTTTACCTATGTCGGTAATTGAATTGCGAAATTGACGAATTCGCGTTGCGAAAAAGAAATTCGCGTTGCGATAGTTGTGTTTATCTATATCGGTAATTAGCGTTGCGAAAATTTCTATGTTCACTGTAATCACCATTTTTACCTCCCCATTCCAACAGCTCCACATTATAAATTTCAGCAGTTTCGAGCACTGCCAGCAGCCCCTCCACGTTGCAAATTCCAGTAGCTTCCAGCACTGCCAGTAGTCCCCCCACGTTTTAGCTCCAGTAGCTGCCAGTAACTTCAACAACAGCTGGTTCCCCGCTCTAATTAGCACCCGCCAGCAGCTCCCTGTTCCAGCAGCTTCCTGTTCCAGCAGCTTCCAACAACAACAGTTGGTCCCCTATCCAGCAGCTTCCTAGTTACAGCTCACCACCAAGTAAAACAAACAATAATCATTTTTTTGTTTTAAACATGTAAATGAGTTAATATATAACTGATACAAATTTCATTGTAAAAAAAGGAGGAGCCTTTCAAATATATAAACAAAAACTGTGAGTTTCTTTGATTTTTTTGTGTATCATTTTGATTTCACATTTTTATGTTATTTTTTTTCTTTGGGCATTCGAACAAAACAGTAAAGAGGAGAAAGTAGAGTCTTACCTAGTTAACTAGTTCTCGCGGAGGAGGGATTGTAGTCGTCGTCGGGTTGTGTTTGGCCGAGAGTCTTTGGTGTTTAGGGGTATCGGTTATGAGTTTCTAGAGGAGAATGAGAGTTAGTTTAGAGTTTTGGGGTTCATTTTTTAGTAAGCCGACCACCATGGGTGGTGGTCGGAGGATTGATGAGCTCTGTTGAGCGGCAGCGTTGGTGAGAAATTTTGAAGCTCTCGGTCGTACGTTTGGAAGATGGAGAGTGAAAGAAAACAATTTTTTTCTCATGTTTTGCAATGAAACGTTGGTTGGGTGTTATAGTTTAGATCATATATTAGCAATTTTGGGTAAATTACATATAGGCCATTACATTTTAGCCTTATATTTCTATTTTCGTCATATTTACATTTTATTTTATTTTAATATTGATATACTATTTTTATTTATTTATGTTTTGGTCATTTGTTATATTTTATTTTAATATGTTGTGTGGTTTGTTCACAATTTTGTGATTTACGTTTTTTGCCTATTTTAATTTTTAATATGTTGTTTTTGTTTTATTATATTTTTTCACTGTTTAATTATAATTTTGTTACTATTTTATCTCATTTTTATTTATGTCCTTTATATTTCGATACTTTAAATTTAGTCCTTTAATTATTGTTCTTTATTTTTTATTCACTTCATTTTAGTCACATGAATATATATATTTAAAGATGATATTTATTTATTTTTTAATATTAAGAAATGTGTTGTCTTAAAGCACCTAGAAGTCATTTTCTGATATACTTAAATAAATAAATATCATATTTTTATAAATTATATATTAATTTATTTTAATTATTTTTAGAGAAATATTTTATTTATTTATTTTTAATATTAAGAAATGGGTTGTCTTAAAGCACCTAGAAGTCCTTTTCTGGTATTTCTATGTAAATAAATATCTTATTTATAAAATTATAAATATTTTCTTAAAATTATACTAATAAATTTGAAATAATAGAATTATTTCAAATAATAGAGACAATAATAGAGACAATTTATAATCAAAATGTACCAATTTTGGGCGTTGTGGGGGTGCTAATCCATTACCCAAACGTAACCGACCACGAATACCTTTTTATTATTAAAAAGAATGAATTTTTGGTTAAACGCAGACCAGTTTATCTTTTAACTTATGTTTTCTTAAAAACTCTTTTAAAAGATGATTTTTAGGTATTCAACCTACCTGACCCAAAAGGTCGATGGCGATTCCCAAAATATTTCAATAAAAATTATTTATTCACATAATTTTTCCCGCCAAGTAAAATTTCGTACCCGGGCAAAAATCGGTTACGACAGCTTGGCGACTCCGATGGGGATCTGGTCAAGCTTTGAAATTAATTATAAATTGTCTCTATCAATTAGAAATTAAAAATTCATATATTTAATTTATAATTCTTTCTTTTCAAATTTTTTATATATATACTTATTATTTTCATAGCATTTTATATATTCTTTTTATTAATATCTTTATTTTATTTTCATGTATTAAATTTCATTATTTATTTGTTTGTCAAAGGTTTGAATATTTATCCTCACACACAACACTTGCATCGCATAAGATAAGCTTTATAATCAAGCTTGTCCCTTTTAAGTGGGAGTGAAAGCAACGACTTCGTGAGAATTTATTCTCCGTGTCAGACCTAGCAAGTAGCTTTCAGGGTTCATATACTCTATGTCTTCGTGAGAATTTATTCTCCGTGTCAGGCATAGAGAAATGTGTCCCCTCAAATTGAACTCGATCTGCTTAAGTCTGTAGTGGATTAGGATTGAGGGTTTGACAGCTCAAGGGGCACCAACAAGGACAGTTCGAGTACCTTTACTCTTAGAACTAAAACCCTGCATATAATAAACCCTAGAAATTCTTCTGATCTAAGATTGTACTGAACCTTGTCCGTAGGTGTACACAAAGGAGAAATAAACTCTAGCTTTTAATTATTTATTTTTTTCCTGAGTAAATGCATGCGAACTAGAAAACATGCAGTTAGGTTAACTTTTCCAAACAAAGCATGGAACTAGAAAGCATGAGGTTAGGATTTATACCTTGGTAGATAGGATCTTTTCTTTCCATTAATTGGTACTAACTTTAACTTTTTTATATTGATTTTCTTTGATTGCATTGCATGATCATGGCATAACCAAAAGGTGTTGACTTGAAAGACTGTTCATCAAATTGGAAAGAATTCATAAATGGACAAAAAATTTATGATCAAACAAAATATGACGCATCCAAGGAAAGATATCTGAGGAAACTCCGATGATAGAAACAAGTTATGCACATAAAGATCCTGTTAGATTGATACCAAAAGCATTCTATGGTAAGAGCATCAGTCAGGATATTCAGAATAAAAGAGGTTTTTATTAAGCTCAAGCATGTTATTTGAATGATTAAAACAAAAAATTGAGCACAGAAATGGAAACCATGCATGAATATTTCCAGAAGATCAGTCAAGCCTTTCAAAATACTGGCATAGAAAACACCATAGAAGAGTGAATAACAGGGGTCGCCAAACTGAAAAAGAACTTCAACATATACAAAGATCTTTTCCAAGAACTTCTTGAACATAAAGGTTATCTTACAAGGGAAAATGAGCAACTCCGAGAATTGACACAGAAGATGAAGGAAAAAGAGAATGGTGTGGAAGAAGCCACAGTCCTGACAACTTTTGAGCATGAATGGAAACTAACTTGGCTTTAGAAAAGTTAGGAGGGAAGGTTATCCCCTATATATAAAGTTTTATTGAAGTTAGGACTGAAAATGTCCCCTACATGTAAAAGTTTTGTTTGATGCACATAAACTTTTGTGTTCAATGAAATCTGTTCTAAGATGATCACTCTTGAGTAACACCTTTTCATACATGCATTTGCATTTTGCATCTTTACATTCTCATTTATACTTTTATGTTTGCTTTTGTATTGCACAAATTTGCATTCTTATTTTTACATTCATATATTTACATTTGCATTTGCATCTTTATGTGTGTATTTGTATTTACGTTTTTTTTTTCATTTGCATATTTGCATAGTTACATATATAGTTTCAAACTTACATCATGCATTAAAACATTCGTTCATTAAAATAAGGATTTCAACCGAAGTGATCTTGGTTCTTACTTGTAGAAAAAATGCTTAGCACGACACAATAAAAATGTCTAAAGAAACTGAGGATAGGCTAGCCAAATTTGAGATAGAGCAGAAACGCAAGAAGAATTGAGGAGCAAGTTGATACAAGTTGAAGCTAATATCGTAAATTCTCATATCAATCTACTAAACAAGATGGAAGAAATGATTGGGAAACATTTGACCACTGGAAAAGTCTTGTTGAAAACCCCACACATCCTCTTGGTGTTACATCTGTTTATATTCCGGGGCACACTTCTGCGCATCAGGAAATCCAACCACCAGTTCACTTCACTGTTAAGAACCTACAATATCAGGTTGGATCTTCGTTCCCCACTGACCGTCCTACTCTTCTGGATTGAAGCCAGATGAATTTT